AGAGAGGTAGGACTGGCAGAGTCACGATTTATGAATGGAGATCTCCTCAAGAGTACTCTAATTGTGATCTTTTGATCCAATAAACATCTGCCATAAGCGGTTCATAGTATTTGGAAGAAGGAAATACCACGGACCTCGAGGACTATCGCAAAGTTACTAATATCATAAGGGAGCTAGCAATTACTATTAACATGAGCTAAGTAGGGTGAATCTCGGGTTCAAAACCCAGGAATAGAATGCCTACTAGCTAAATGGCATCACGGGATGCTTTCAATAATGACGGCCAGAATCATCACACTAGAAACACAGATCATGGCTAGACCACTAGATGATCCTCTAAGCACTTAGGGTCATAATAGGAACTCCAACATTTATGTCAAGGCAATAGAATACCTCAACTCAGCAATTAGTGTGATTAACCTGGCCCAAAGGAACATAAAAACCATAGGGAAAGGATTTGCAAGTGCATCAGATCGTTTTAGAAACCTAGGATGACTCGGACAGCATAACGGCTGTAAATGCTCGAAGGATTGGAGACATGCTACAAAAAAATGGTGGCATAACCACTCAGAAGCACAATATCAAGGTTTCAAGATCAACAGTTAACATACAGAAGATAGTAGGAACTGAACTGAGGCTTGAATCAACAATCTTATAAGTCTATGGATTAGTAACACGTGATCCTGATAGAAAGAAGAGAAAGCCTAGTTCCTTAACCCCGTAGGAAAGATAAGATGACTCAGATCAGAAGGGCATAAGGTATAAGGAGTAAAAAGAGCCTTACGTTCCATCCCACAATCAATTCCCTTATATAACTAAAGAATTTCTAGACTCAACTTCGACCAGTTTGGCTTGGTAATCCTACAGGCAGTCAAGCTCTGATACCAAAGCTGTCAGGACCCCGACTCAATGCCACATCGATCTAGCATGTAACACCTCATATCACTTTGCGGCCTCACGCACGGTATTCCCACGGGTGTCGCCTTACCTTTGCCCGGGACCGTTTGCGTCTTTTGGCACACGTATATGATAGTGTCGCTAGCATCCATATGATAAGGAGCCCAGGCTGACATGGCTAGTCGTAAACCCAAAGTGGCACAAACTTACAGGGACAGGCATCCATGACCCAGCATCGAACGTGTCGGTCATCAGCAAGTGGGTCCGGGCTGTAGCTCTGTGCTAGCAGGACTCCGGTAAACCGGGCTGTAGCGGGCTAACAGGACTCCGGTACTCAATGCGTGACATTTCCCCGAAGGGACAGACACTGGAACGAAGAAGGACACATGCCGGCCAGCCTAAGTGTTCTGGAGCAGTAGCAAGCTACCAAGGCTCAATGGAAACACTAGGAGACATTTCCCGGTAAGAGAGGCTACTAAAGATAAACAACTAGATAGTCAGATCCCACACATACCAAGCATTTCAATAACATACACACAATATGCTCGATATGTGCAATACAACATGGCATCACAAAATGACTCTACGACTCAAGTAGTTTATTCAATAGGCTCCGAGGAGCGAGATATTACAAACATGGGTCTCATGACCCAACAATCAGAGCATACTAGTCAAAGCACATGCGGAAGCTTAACATGTCTGAGTACAGACAACTATAAATGAAAAAGGCTGAGAAGCCTGACTATCTACCAGATCCTGCCGAGGGCACAAGATCGTAGCTGAGGTAACAAGCTAAACGTCGAAGTCCACGAGGTACTACTAGCGAGACTGAAGTCTCTCTACAAAAACATAAATTAAGCAACATGAGTACAAATGTACCCAGCAAGACTTACATCAGGTCTATCTACATATGCATCATTATCAACAAGGGGATGGTGGGGTTTAACTGCAGCAAGCCAGCTTTGACTCGGTGGCTAACCTGAACTACGACCGCAATGTAACTCTTTGAGGTGGCGCACACGAGTCCACATATTCACCATATCAATACACCACTATGGATCCGCTCCCGTCTCCCTGCGAGAACGCCATCCATAGCACTCACGCTTATCTTGCGTATTTTAGAGTATCCACTTTCACTTGTCTATGAACTATGCAAGGGGTCCAAGTTTCCATATCCGAGGAATCCGGCTATTCGAATAGATAATGATAACCCTGCAGGGGTGTACTTCTTCACACACGCTCTCGCCACTTATCGCCCTGTACGCGTCATGTACCTCGGCAACCTTCAAGCGGAAGCCGAGCGAGGGAGTCGGCCACGACCTGACTAACCATACAAGTCTCTCGTCCAGGTTTATCGCCTATTCGGGTTCCATCCGCAAGGAGATCCGGCCGGGGTGTCGCTCACGGCCCCAAACGATGTGAGCAGGGTTCCCAAGCCCACCATCCGGGTGCCACTTGGTACACCGTGCCACTGTGCCTAGTATGTCCCAAGCCCACCTGTACCGGGTGCCACTTGGTAGACTACTAACACTACCTACAAACACCAGAAACTAGTTGCAACTCCTGGACAGAGATCATGTTGACTAATAAGTCGAGAGAGTCAATTAAGGATCCCAATGTGTGGTAGTAGCTGTTCATAGATCACAAACACAGAACTCAGTTCCTGAGGACGGCTGCAATGAGACAACCCACCATGTACTCCTACATGGCCTCTCACCGCTACCTTTACCAAATCGTGTTCACACACTTAGCACTCAACAGTAGGACATGTTCACACACCTCTGATTCATCCCCGATGAATCAGACCTGACTCAACTCTAAGCAGTAGCAGGCATGACAAACAAGCATGAATGAGTAGGCACAACAGGGCTCAGACAACTCCTACTCATGCTAGTGGGTTTCATCTATTTACTGTGGCAATGACAGGTCATGCAGAGGATAAAGGGGTTCAACTACCGCATCAAGTAACAGATGAATCGTTGTTGTCCTAATGCAGTAAAAGAGAGCAGGAGCGAGAGAGTGGGATTTTATCGGAATGAACAAGGGGGTTTTGCTTGCCTGGCACTTCTGAAGATAATATAGCTCTTCATCGGTGTCATCGATCACATCGTCGGTATCACGTCTATCGAGAGGGGGCAATCACCGGCAACTGAGGAAAAACACAATCAATGCAATGCACAATATGATGCATGAATGTGACATGGCAATATGCTGTGGTTTGTGCTAATGCAACTAAAACCAGATTAAATGAAGTTGGTTTGAATCCAAGATTCAAACTCAAACTCCATATGTGGATATTTAAATGCCATTAATATGATTTGTGCTAAACAGCACCTATAAGTTGTTCTAACATGCATGAAACCAGTACCGATGGATAGATTGGATTTTTCTGATCATTTTTCATATATAATTTATTTCATTTGGAGTTACGGTTGATTTTATATGAATTTTACAAGTTTTAAACATTTTTTGGAAATAATAAATCATTTAAGGTTTATTTAAATTCCAGAAAGGAATTATTGCATCAGCATGACCTCAGTGTGACATCAGCGGGTCAACGGGACACGGTCCGGGTCAAACCTGACAGTGGGTCCCGCGTGTCAGTGTAATTAGTTTAGTTAGAATTTAATTAAAACTAAACTGGGTTAATTAACAGGGTTGGGCCCCACCTGTCAGTGACTCATCGGAGTCAACCAGGGCCCACCCGTGGTCAAAGTCAACGTCAGCTGCGCCGGCATTTAGCCGCCGGCGAGCCCGACGCGGTGGCGGAAGTGGTTTTGGCCGTTCCGGCCACCAAATGGGTCACGGAGGGCATCGGGGTGGAGCTGAGGACGAACCGCGGCTCTTGGTGGAGTCCGTTGGGGTCGGGGTGGCCGGAGTTGGCTCCGGCGACGACCTAGGCGGCGACCGGAGTTTGGTTGCGCGCGAGATTGCGTTTCAGTTTGTAGAAGAGCGGGGCAAGGGGCTAGGAGGACGCTACGCATCGCGAGGAGTAGGTTGGACACTCCAGGGTGACCATATGGTCACCGGAGCATCGTCGACGGCGAGCTCAGGCGGCTGTGCATTCCGGTCATCAAGGGGGCGACGGCTACGGCAATCAAACGAAGAGGGGAAGAGGGGGAAACGGTGGCGGAGCTCACAGTGGTGCCGTAGGGATGGTTAGCGGGCTCGGGGACGTCCTGCGTGCGGCGGATCGACGACGATGGCGGCCGGAGCCCGAGGTGGAAGACGACGGCGATGGCGACGTTGCTGGCCTCCCGGGGTCGCATGCGTCGTGTGTGTAGCTCCACGGGGTCGGGACGGAGCTCAGGGATGCGGAGAGGGAGCGAGGGGGTGGCTGTGGCCGTGGGGGAGCTCGTCGGCGGCGACAGCTGCGTTCGGGCGAGTGAGAGAGAGGAAGCAGAGGAGAGGAGGGCCACGGGGAGAGTGATGGCGAGGTCGAGGGGGTTCGGCATCTCCGTGGCGTCGTCTAGGCGCATCGGAGAGGGGCCAGGCAGGCAGGGAGGGAGGAGGTGGCCGGCGCGGCCGTGCGCGTGCGGGCACGCAGCTGCTTCGGGGCGAGGGGAGGAAGACGACGGAGGGGCTGCAGTGGTGGGCTGGGCCGGCCAGCTGCAGTGCTGGGCCGGTTGGTGGGCGCCAGGTAAGTCCAGGTAGGTTCTCTCTCTCTTTCTTTCTCTTTTCTATTTTCTGCAGTTTGTTTTGATTTAGTTTTAGACACTAAATCATTTTTTATAAATTCTGTAGGTTTTTATGTGGCTTGCTAAAATATATACAAAGCCACTCACAAACTTCCAGAATTATTGGAGTCATATTTAATATATATTAAATATAAATCCAAAGCAAATAGTTATTGGATTAATTCAAATGGCCAAAATAAATATCTCTGTGACTCCAAAAATATTGGTTTGAATTTTACCTCTTACCAATATTTCTATGGAATAATAGGAACATTTTCTTGGACTCATTTGAGAAGATTTAAATGTTGGTTATTTTTAGAGGTTTCCTGAGGCTTTTGAAAATTCCTCAATTCAAATTTCATTTGAATTTAAACATGATGCACACATGGAAGCAAGCATAGGTCAGGCCAGAACTAGGGATGTGACATTCCCAGGGTAGAGGTACCCGATGATGAGCTCGGTGATGATATTTAATCCAGGTTGCTGCACCAAAGAAAATTTCCATGATCATCATTACAGATCAATCTGATAGCCATCATTAGGTCATGAAAAAGAAATGATCACCCAAGTACTAATTTAACCAATCATGTTTTTCAAAGAGCTTGCGGAACTTTACATAGTGGCCTCACCTGACACAACTTACCATATTTGTCGTTGGAGTGATGATGCCGATGGGTAGCGTGAAGGTTAAGGCGATGGCACAAGCGAGGAGGAGTCCCCAATATGGTAGTTGCAACTGTCCTCCAAAACCCTCACATGTGAACAATGACAGAGCCAGCACGAGGACCAACATTAGGTGGAACCACCACTGCGGAACAGACCTGTAGTTCCTCTTCATGATCCTGGTGTGCACATCGTGCTCCTTGCCCTTCTCTGACGCTGCCTTCCACCATAGATCAAAAATCTCCCTGGATCATGAAAACTCGAAGTCATAAGGCCTAAGTGAGAAAAGCTGATTTGTTGGGCATATTAAATAGCTAGATGCCAAAGTAACTCAAGGAATATACTAGTGTCTAGATGGAAATTGAGACGCCATTTAGAGGAACATACATTACAAGTGTACCTGGTCGAATAGGGGATTTTATAGAGTGATTTAGATATCTTATACATATGTTTGCTGGCAAAATACTGAAAACAAAGACACAATTCTTTACACATAGCATGATTGTGTGCCCCTCGAGGAGAATGAAGCAATGAAAGTTCACATTACTCATTATTACAAAGAAATCTTTGGTAGATCCATGGTATCTTCTTTGCACTTACACTGAGACACACAACCCTTGAGGGTAAATTTTCACAGGAGGATTGCCTTGAGCTCACCAAGCATTTTACTTCATAGGAGATTGAGATTTCTACTAAGTAAATAAAAAGTAAAACTACGCCAGACCCATATTCGACAAAACATGTTAGAGAAAGGCATGCCATCTCAAAGGTGGTCAATGTGCATGGTCCTCGTGCACCATTGGTCGGCTCACCTTGGCCACCTCCCATGCTAGCTCATACAACTTCCAACTCTTCCACGAAGGCATCTCTCCTTAGACTTGGTCACTTCACACCATCCAAGGCATCTTGCCAGACTGCTTGATCTACCAGGTCACTGCCAAGATGCACGAGAAGCTCCTAATTTGTCGTAAAGGCTTGGGTCGACAATCCTTAGCTCGTTTCGATAGAGACCACCCTCACCTTCCATGACCGGAAACCTTGCACTCATGAGTCTTCCTCTACAGGTGGGATTTTCCAGACAGGGCGGCGACACTAAGAGGTGTGGAAGCTAGTAGCACCTACCACATCTCCTTCACCCACCACCAATACTTGCCGACATATAAGAGGCCACCTTATACTCCATGAGGCCATCTGTAGTGGACCACTTACAAGGCCCACACGGCAATAGCAACGTCAAGGATGATATTCAACTCCCCTCCCCTAGAGGAAGGCCACTGCCCTCGGCTTGCGGAGCACATTCACAACCACTACGACCACTCCACCTCGCTCTCGGCTTGCCATCGCCATCAAGGAAGCGCACGACAATACAACAACGTCTTTCTCCATGTACCCAACACGCCATAACCCCCACTAGAGAGGGAGGCTTGCAAGCTGGTGTCGGCTACCTATCTGACAATTTTGACATGTTGCCCTGATGGCATTAGCATAGTCGGTGAGGGCTTGGCCTCAATTTCACTAGAAGCTAATAGTGACCCTAACAAAACCCGGATGGGCGTCAAATCTTGAGACCACTTGCAAGATCCTGCCGCCATTATGGACATCGGCATGGGTGCTACTCAGTGCCAAATGTGGTGGTGAGCCAGGCCAACCATGTCTCCCAGTCTATACCTGCATGTGCTTTGCCTCCTATGTCGGTCTTGACCTAGATAGAATCTGTACCACACATGTTCCAACATTCGCCTAGGCCTATCATCATGCATGCACCGCCGTGGGCCCCCACTTCCCTCCTCGTGCATCAGGAGGCAATCATTATCATGGTCAAATCATCAGAAACTAGGTAAATGAATTGGCACCCGTCACATTCTCAACTTTGGAGGTTAAACGAGGAGCCTTGGTGTCCCAACAATGGTCTCCTTGCAATAATGGATCTGCGAGCATTCACCATTCATGGACAATTACTTGCCCCTGAAGCTGGTGCCAGCCCCCAAGCATAGCCTTGCACCCCTTCATGGTTAGTAAAATCTTAGCTAAATGGTTTTGAGCCTGCAATCTCCCCCAACATTGTTGGGTTAGGCACCGATAAACCGACCATAATTGCAATCATCATAGACAGTAGCGCACATGTCTGCTTCATCAAAGATATCATGTTGTTGATCCAACTCGCGCTACTACTGCCTCCGTCATCACCCCATCACAAGCCCTAGAAGGCTACCAGGACTCCTCCAACCACTACTAGGTGTAGCCATAGGCTCCTAAATAGGAAAAGGGCACTTCCCAATGAGGATGGTGTGAGAAATGGTCATGTCTAAGCATGGCCTAGAAATTTTTGAGAAAAGGGAGAATGAGGACACACACACCTTGAGATGTATGCCAAGGCCTTCTAGGATCCTCTATTGCCAGCTCCAATTGTTTCACTCTCTTCCCTCACCAAATCTGGCAAAACCTACTACAAGGCCATGTAGGTAACCATTTGACCATCGGCTCCGCCTTTTATCAGTTAGGTTACCGATGGAATACAACTTTCTGGTCTGGAATGTGACAAGAGTAATCCATCCCAGAGAGAAGTGTTTAGGTCGATTGTGCTCCAACACGATGTTTCTGTTGTATGGTGGTTGAACTCGTTGTGGTGAAGCAATGTTGTGGTGTAGACTTCTTTGGATGTGCATACTTGCCGACAGAAGCAACCATGGTGGCAGCATTGTGGCCCAATATTCTTGCATTAATTCTACTTGATTGCACATGGCGACTAATGGCCTCACTTTTGCTCTTGACCAAGTGTATACCCCCCAGCACAATGATGCCAATTTTTTATGTCTTGCTGACCTGCACCATGCCATGCAGAGCTTCATTCCACCGGTCACGCCTTTCATTATAGGCGGAGGCCTTACAAAGGTTGGTATCATCTACTGACCCAATTTCCCGTCTTGATGAGAAGCTGCGGCGCACTGCTAAGGCCCTGAAACCATGGAACTCCAAGGTGGTAACCAACATTGCACTAAAATATGAAATAACAAACGAGCTCATTGGAAGACCGAATCACGTGCTAGACAATTGGTCTTTATCAGAGGATGGAATATCTTTCCATGCAATGCTGAAAATTCAGCTACTTGGGTAGGTTGCCATGGAAAGATCCTTCTGCAAATGGAGATTAAGGGTGCAACGTATCAACAAGGGGATGCAAGAGCGATATTTTTCCATGCCAATGACACTATTAGATGCCATAAGAATCACATCCACCATGTCATTGTGGATGTCAACGTATACACTGAACAAGCTGACAAGATGCGCATCATGGCAGTTTTTTTGAGGGGTTGGTTGGTCATAAAATTGCAAGGGCACATTGTATGGGCCTTCATGATTAGCATTGAGTACATGTATTTGACGTGCTGGATGAACCATTACTTGTGATGAGGTGTGAACGATATTAACCAAGATCAAGAATGATTGTGTGCTAGGACCTAGCGGCTTCATGGACACCATTTGCAAATGACGTTGGCACTTATTGGAGGGGTGTGTTCGCCACCCTTTTGGACGTACAACAGCTATAGACTGTCAAAGCACATCTCCCGAAATCGATTTTGCTGCCCAAGTTTGAGGATGCAGTATCACCAAAGGAATTTATGTAAATCAGCCTCATTATTGGTTTCACAAAACTATTCATAAAGCTCTTGGCCTGTCACTCTCGCTTGAGAATGAAAGAGCTTACCCTGCCCTACCAAAGTATGTTCATCAAGGGCAGAGTTATGCATAATAAGTTTAATTATGTCCAAGGCCTCCCAAAGGCATCTAGACAATGAAAGACACCAACAATAATGTTTAAACTAGACCCAGGGAAGGCATTGGACACCAGTTCTTGGGGCTTCCTTTTACTGGTACTCGAGGCAAAAGGATTCATCAGATAATTTTGCAATTGTATCCGGTTTTGCTTGCTACGTCAACCACAAAGATTTGGATAAATGGGGAATTACCCAACTCAGTGCAACATAGGAGGGGTCTCCGTAAGAGAGAGACCCACTATCCTCATTGTTTTCCATGCTCGTGATGGACTGTTTTGCCGCACCGATTCAATTGGCCACAAGCGTGGAGTTGTTGTGTTCCATCGAAGCTCAACTATTGCCATACATATAGTACATCTACACGGATGATGCAGTGATTTTTATTAACCCCGAGTTAGATCAAGTTGTGACATCACGAAAACCTCTTTAGGCATTTTGTGTTGTCTATGTCTTGCATAAAATTCCTAACAAGAGCTCTGTAACCCCAATCTGTTGTGATGGGATTGATGTACCAATGTTGGTGTTGCACCTGGAATGTTAGATCAAGCAGTTCCCCTTCACTTACTTGGGCATGCCGTCGTCGGATCACAATCCTCGAAAGACTGATTACTAACCTCTGTGGATGCAAGACTTATCCTTGTCCAGCAAGTGCTATTGGCAATGATGGTATTTGAAATGCTCTTGATGGACATGCCGGTATGCTTGACCAAGAGCATCATCAAGATCTGCATGGGATTTTTCTGGGAGAACATAGAAGATGGAATGGAGCAAATGTCTTGTCAAAAGGTAGCCTGCCAACCAACAAGCACCAGAGGATTGACAATCAATAACCTGGCAGCCCAAAGCATAGCTTTGAAGATGAGATGGATATGGTACTCTTAGACTGATTCGGCCAAGTTGTGGATCAAGATACCACTAATCATCAATAGTAAGGTCAGAGCCCTATTTAATGCATTCTTCAGATATGTTATTGGGCCGGTGCTTAGATCATGGAGAGACCCATTGCTTAACTCAACGAGCCTCAAGGTGGCCTACTGGGACCTTTTGTAGCATTGCGCCAGGAAGAACCTCACCTTGGCATGGGCCAACAACGACAATCATCGGATCAGACACCTCAAGCGCAACATGTCCTTCTAGGTCGTAACCAAATTTTTGGCACTTAGGCTGCACGTGCATCAACCTCAGTGACATCCCTAACTAGGTGATATGAAGATGCACTGTTGATAGCCAATTCACCTCTTCCTCGGCATACAAGACCCAATTCAAAGTTGCGCAGTGGCATGATTTCAACCAGTTGGTATATAAATTAGAAAAACCTATTGAAATTGACGATATTGTCATGGCTGGGAGGCTTGGTTGATATCTCATGACGAACAACCTGGCCAAAGTGTTTGTCCTCATAATCAACTCTGTGTCATGTGTGGCACCATCCATAGGATGCGCACCACCTCCTCCCCACTTGCTCCTACGCCACAGAGGTCTGGGCAATTGTTTTACACCTCTGCCACCTAGCATCGATCATGGGTACACGCCCTCTGACGACCTTGTTGCACAACTGGTGGGCTAAAGGAAGGAAGAAAAATTCCAAGCCCCATTGCCAAGCATGGAGTGCCTTGGTGCAACTCACGTGGTGGCACACATGGAAGGAGTGAAGAAACAAAGGGATTTTCAGGAAGACATCATCAACTCCAATACAAACTTTCCATGACTTGCCAAACTAGAAATCGACTATCAAAGGCAGGCTTGACCAATAGATACAAAGACCTCGCAAGCCCGAGTTAGCACGTTCATATCATACATTGTACACTACCGATAAGACAAGTGGTAAGGTGTTGGACACGGGCCTCTACTATGTAATTCTATAACCGTTCTCCCTCTATATTTCAGAAAAGTTGCACTGCCAACATTTTCGTCAAAAATAGTTTAGATAAAGGTTTAGTATTTGGTGAAAGAAATGTTAGCTGAATTATACAAAGGTGCATTGAACATGGAAGGCCGAACTATGGAATAATTATTTTAATCCCCAAAACCAAATATGCTAATAATATCGAACAATATAGGCCCATATGTGTGTTGAGTGTAATTTTCAAGAAAACGTAACCCAGACGCTTTGTGTTGCTAGACAATTAGTTCAATCCAATCCGTGTTCTTCTTAGGCAGGAATATCCTCTAGAGGATTGTTGTTTTGCAAAGAAAAACTAATGGTGAGGACATTATTTTGAAGCTTGGATTTGAGAAGGCTTATAATAAAGTGTTCTATGGGGATAATTGTTTTTTGCTTAGTGATGATGCAATGTGTGGTAGAGATAACCTAGGCATGCAACAATCTCAATGGTGTCATTGATGAATACTCTAGGACTTTCAAGGGTCTCAGGAGACCCACTTTCTTTGCTTTTCTTTATTTTGGTAGGATATGCTCTAGGAGCCATGATTACTGCTGCTAGTAGGACTATTCACCTTAGCATGCCACACTTATGGTGTGTTTGGTTAATTTGCTACCTGGGAATGATGCCTAGAACAAGGAAAAACCCCAGGTGTCCAAAATCGGATGCATGATATACCTTTGTCAAAGCACAAATATTAAAAGCAATCCTAAATCAAAATCTTAAAAGTAATCCCAAATCCGTATGTGAACAATATCATTTTTTCTTTTGTCTTTTTGTGACACTATTCATGTTGGATGTTGTCTTTCTTCTTTCTCTATCTATACATTGAATATTGATTCAGATTTGTTAGGGGTTATAGGCACGTGTACTGTGAACATTCACAATTGTTTCAGCTTGTTAAACATTTAAATATGAGTTTTAAACATGGTAGCATATTACTTTTGGGAGCGCCGGATACTTTCCTCCAACCCCACGATTTCCTCTGCTCTGGCCCGAGTATATAGCAAAAACCTACCACGTTACAAGCTATTGTTACAAAAAACTACCATTTTTCTTAATCTTTCAAAAAAGCTACCACAAAATTGGTTCCTTGTTCCAGAAAACCCAAATTCATGTGTGATTAAACTTTAAAACCGTTTTATGACAGCTGGGGTCCACTCATCATGTTGACTGTTGACAGGTTACAACAAGTGGGGGCCGAAATATTTTTTGAAATGCAATCGGGTCCCTACAGAATTTTTAAAAAGTGATCAGGTCCCTATAAAATAAAATAAAAAGCAATCAGGTCCCCGCTGGCGAGCTCGTCACCGGAGCTCCTCAGCGGCTCTGTGGGTGTTGGCCGGTCTCTCTCCCGTAGCCTCGACGCCACAGCAGCCAGTGGCAAGCAGCGACATTAGTGGCAAGCGGCAGTAGAGGCATGCAGCAGCGGCAGTGGCGGCAAGCGGGAGCAACGGCAAGCAGCAGGGCTGGCGGCAGCAAGCAACAGCAGCGGACGCCAAGCGAGAGCGACGGCAAGCAACAACAGCAGCGGACGCCAAGCGAGAGCGACGCCAAGCAGCAGCAGCAGCAGCAGCGAGCAGCGAGCAGCAGCGAGCGACGGCTAGCCGCGGTATGCGCATGAGCTAGCTAGCTCTTCGTGCGTCTGCCGTGAACTAGCTAGCTTCGGCTGGCTGCGGTACGCGTGTGAACTACCTAGCTAGCTCCGGCTGCATCCGTCGTGAGCTAGCTACCTCTAGCTGGCCGTGTGGAGCCGATCGAGGGTGAGCGGGTTGGGGTTGGCGTCGTCGATGCCGGAGAACAGGGAGTCACCGGTGCCGCGGCGTGGGGGAAGGGACAGACACGGGGCGGCGGCGGGACGGGTAGGTACTTCGTGGCAGCGGCTCCTGCCAGTAGCAGGACGGAGGCAAGGCGAGGGAGGTGCTCCGGGGCGGCGGCGCGGCTGGAGAGGTGCTCCGGGGCAGCGCCGGTCCGGGGCGGCGGCGAGGCGTCCTCAAGCTCCGGCTCGGAAAAGCTGCTCGAGGGATGCCGTGGATGGAACGGGGCGGCGGTCAACTCTTTTGTTTTTTTAGATTTTATTTTATATTTCTAGGAGATGTCACTGACAGGTGGGTCTGGCCCAACTTAACGGTCAACGATTAGTTAACAGTCAATGTTTATGAGTGGACTCTAGCTGTTATAAAACTTTTAAAGCTTAATCACACAATAATTTGAGTTTTTTAGAACAGCAAACCAATTTTGTGGTAGTTTTTTTAAAGATTAAAAAAGTGATAGTTTTTTATAGCTATAACCTATAACGTGGTAGTTTTTTGCTAAATACTCTAGCCCTCTTGCTAAAGTGTTGTCGCTGCTGCCGAAAACTATCAACGTCGCCATTCCCCTCAGCCCAACCAATTCCAGGCACAAACATGAAGTTAATGACCAAGGCCCATGTTCCTATCTTGCGGGGTGGCCCGAACAAAGCGTTGTCGGTGACTATAATTATTGTTTTTTAACTATGTGCTACAGTATAGGATGAAAAGGTTAAAAAATATTCCGGTTCCAAAATAAGTGCCTCAACTTTAATACAACTTGTATTAAAGTTGAAGCACTTATTTTGGGACTGCGAAAAAAAAACTCCAATATCTGATCTATTTTTTCTTAATCGGTTTCTTGTAATAACAACATGGTGGTTAATAGAGGGCGAGGAGATAGCGCGTAAGAGCTTACTTGCCATGGTAGAGCGCAACATGTGAGAGCGTGGACATGAGGCCAGCAAAGCCGAATCCGTAGTTGATGGCGAAGAGCACGCTGAGGTTAATGCGGCTGTAGGCGTTGTACTCGTGGAGGTTGAGCGTGAAGGTCTTGGGGTCGAGGATGCGGTTGGTGTCATAGCGGCCGCCGGCAGCGTCGAAGACGTGCGACGAAATGATGGGGAAGCGCTTGGCATTGTAGGTGTTAGTCCAGTAGAGGAGCGGCAGCGTTAAATAGTTGCTGAGGGAGAAGCCGACCATGATGTTGAAGATGGCGAACGCCGGGGAGGCGAGCGGGTTGCCGATGAACCCGGCGACGGTGTTCCAGTCGAGGCCGAAGGAGCCGAGGCCGAGGCCCTTGAGGCCGGAGCCGATCTGCTGCGCCGTCACAGAGTCCTTGAAGAACCAGCAGAGCGCCGAGAAGGTGCTGGCCGCCGGGAACAGGTAGCTGGGGATCAGGTAGTAGGCGAAGCTGCAGACCAGCACGATGATGAAGAATTGCAGCCGTGTCAGCTGCCCCTTGGGCCTCTTCTCCTCCTCGTGCATCGCCCTGTATTAGTACATGCAGTTTTATATAGACAAGGTTCAGTATGATTGCATTGCTTCAAGTCCCAACGACTCTACGTACGTACTGACCTGAACAGGGTGACCTGGACAAGGTTTAGAGGCCACCACATGTAGGCTGAATCCACCAGGTACGTCCTAAACAAGCCAGCCCATCCGTACCCAAGCAACTGAAATTAAACAGAGCCGCACATTGGCCGAAATGACCTCTGAATTCAACCAATGGCGATGGAATGAAAAGTCGAGGTAATGTCGGATCACCTGAGTTGTCTGCGCGAGCAGCATGGCCGCGTAGGGGTTGATCTGCCGTTTGTAGAAGACCTTGACGATGGCGATGATATTCATTGCATAGACGCCGCTGGCGCCCGCGCCGGCGAAGATGGTGATGAGGCAGTGCTCCTTGAGGCTGAAAGGGCCCGGGTTGAGGCTGAAGGACCAGCCGATGAGCGGGACGCGTATGAGCTTCGCCGGCAGCGCCGACGCCATGAACCGGCCGATGGGCAGGGTGGCGATCTGCACCAACACCGTGCCGATGCTCAGCTGGTTGGACCGGTACATGAAGAACTCGTTGACGAAGGCCAGAAGCATGCAGGACGACATCCCCAGCACCCATGTTCGGATCGTCAGGGACGGCTCCGACGGGTCGTCGGTTATCGGCACCGTGTTCCGGACCTCCTCGATTGGGTGGTCGTTCACCTCTTCTTCTGCATCGTCTGCAGATCAGTTATCATTTGCAGTAACATTCTGGGACAAAAGATTTTCATCATGGGAGAAGCGTCGACACTGCGGACAAACGTACAGCGGGTTTCTGCCATCGGAATGTGCTCGCCGGGCTCGGGCCTCCCGTCCCGGCCTACGGAAAGTTGGCGGTCTCCTCCAGGGGACACGCGCCAGGGCAATGCGGCTAACTGTTGCTGAAACCTCTTGGTTTAGGAGTCACCTTCTCAGTTTCAGTTTGTGTCCTATTTCTAAAATAGGCTGGCTATTATTAGAAACAATCTCGCATGACCTCACTTGTTTGTAGGGTCTCAGATCCTGAGATGCAGTAGCCTTGTAGCTTGAAAGACACGGAGTTGTCGGTGACCTATCGGGGTTTCCGCTATTTGTCTGTCACTCAGCAGCTGGCTCCCTCGGCATCTCTATCGTGCAAACAGCATAAAACTATCACAATTGGGACAGGGCAAAAATAACTACGACTTTTTTTTCCGGCACTGATACCTTCTACATTTTCGTAATTTTGTTGAAAAAAAATCTGGTTATCTTTCGCTTAAAATTGATCCCTTTTCATGACATATTTGGTCCACCAGTCAGGCCACGTGTGGGGGTTGGGGGTGGTGTTAACGGCCATCAGTTGCTTGGTCCGATTGGAACCATTGTCTCTCCCGGTCGCTCCCAGTCATTCAGTCTCTCCTGTTTGACCTAGGGCCGGTGATGGTGGCGGCGACTCAGTACGCGGAGGAGGCACCAGTGGTGAGTACTCCGAGGTGGACAACTGGCTCGGCAGCGGGAGCAATTAGGGTTGTGTGTACACACTGTTTCGGTGCAACTAGAACATGTACCGAATTGGGGATTTGTTCAGTGGCGGTGTGTGTGTGTGTGTCTATTTGTCTGTTTGATTTAGTATTAAAAGGATCTTTCTATTTATATGTTCATATTTTTGACATCGTAGCTTGTTACTTCTAGGATTAAGTAAGGTCATATAGTTACTTGTGTAGTTGTTACACATGATACTAAGATGGTGTGTTAGTACTTTAGTGTTACTAATTAGGGGATTGGGGTAGCAGCTGATACAATTTTTTAATCCATTTTGTTGTCAGGTTGGATGATGAAATGTGGGAAATAAGGTTCCATTTACAAGGTAGAGACAAACTAAAAAGAATTATTTCCCTATACGATGTAATTTACTTACTTTGTTAGCACTAATTGTGGGTGAGGGCTATGGAATAGATGATAAGATGTACTATGTGAAGGAGGATGGAAGGGGTTGGAAGGGATGGAGATTTTAGATAGTGAGGACAAAGTAGAAGAAATGTTTAACTTGTTGCAAAATTAGAAAGTTCTGAACAGCACAGTCATCAAGGGTAGTGAACCCACACCAGGAGATTTAAATAGGGAGAACATCCTAATAAAACACCAGGTTCCACTTAGTCGAACAGGGATCCTCTTGTTTCTAGTATATCCCAAGCTGGTGTGCTTCACCCTACTGCAATTATTTCATAGCCTTCAAGTAGTGCACAACTTGGAGTTATTCTGGATGACCCTAATCTAAACACACAACAAAGCTGCACCTTCAACAAGGCAAAAGAGAATGTTGAAGAACATGAAGACTCTACAAATAGCATGGATAACTCCTATTCGGATTATTAATATGATTGGGGTCAATACATTGGGAAGAGGAATACAATGGTAAAAAAAGCTTAGCGAAGGAGGTTGAGATAGAGAATTGGATGGAGAATATGAGGAAGGAGAGACAGGATGACTTGATGCAATTTGAAGGGGGATACAAATGTGTCAAGAGTTTGTTGAGGAGCAAGGGGATCCAGAATCTAGACATGAAGAGCACCCTCTAGTTGTATAGAAACAAGTCTCACAAAACCTAAAGCTAGCGAGGAAACCTGGGCCAACAACGAGCACACAATGAGGCTAAGCAGATAAAGTTAATCATTTTGCACTTGCACCAGATGAATTATGCTTTCCAGTGATTTTGGTATTGGTGATGAAGGTGAAGAACCAGCACTACTACCTATTGGAATGAAGAGAACGACTAGGAAGGACAAGGATAGGAGGTGGTATTATGACTCAATGCCTGGTACACATGAGCAGTTGTGCTTCATTGGTGTTTACTAGTTTGGAAAGAGCACCAAGGGATTTTCATGTCAAGACACTGAGGGATTTTGAATACCACATGAATGAAGCAAGTAGCTAGGGTTATTCTTTGGACCAAGTGGAGAGAGCACAAAGGTCACTACTGATTGGGTGGCTAAAGCATGCGAGGAAATATTGAGACCAAATTCAAGAATTGGTGTCGATACAATAATGAAACATACAAAGAGCATGTATGAGGCACATGTGGCAAAAAGTTTGGTCTTCAGGGCAAGGAGGAAAGTAGTTGATGTGGTGCAAGGTGACCACAAGGACCAATACAAGAAGAGACCGGGGGACTATCTACAAATAGTTCTTGATACAAGCCTAGAAGTAGGTGTGTGGTGACAATAAAGGAGATGCACTCAATCTAACACCTACCCCTAGACTACAATACATGTTCTACTATTTGCATGCATGAAAGGAGGAACTTCTTATTGGTTGCAAGCCATTTATAGATAAGTTTCATATATTAGTAGTAGAGTTGATAGTAAGATCCAAACTTTTGTTGCTTGCTAATGTCTTAATCAATGCAGGGCTGGATGATTGATTTATCAAACTTACCTTTGGACAACAAATACGGGCGGCCAAAGAAAGACATGGCAACAACAACATCTATCATATAGCTTTTGGGGTAGTTGACAAAGAAGATACAAATATCCTTCAATGTCCTATCTTTCTAAACTTTAGGGAAAAAATGAATTTCAACGAATTTTATCAACTTCCCAGAAACTGGGGGTGAAAACATACAACAAGATGTATTTATAGGCTTTCATTGGAGCTTAGTTTTAACATTTTACCAATGATCTCGGATTTGCCATGGAAACGACGACGCATCAAAGATACTTTCTTGTTTGTGTTGTTTGTAGAGGGATGCATCATGCATGTGGTCTCTAATCTCCTGAATATTTCTCTTAACGTCAACACATTGAACAATGTCTTTGACCAACGAATTGAAATATTTGAGATCTAACATGTGGTTGGATGGTTAATAGGTTGGTTGCTATCTGAGACCGACTTGAGTCAAACCCTAGAATTTGACAACTTCGTCAATTTTAAAGGTCCGCGACTCTGGTATTTAATAACATTGTGTGCATATATACTTTACTTTGATGTTCTAAGAAAATAACTACAATATTCGTCTCCGGCTGTTTCCTCCATAAAACATTTTTTCTGTGCACGCATAGGCCTAAAGATGATTATGATGCCAGTTGCAAAGCGAAAACCGACAAAGGAAAATGAGATAGAGCATCCAAAATTGTCTGTAATTTCCAGGCATCTGACCCACGAGCCTTTCTTCCATAAAAGAAACTAATGATCAACATATTCGTATCCCCTTATCAACCAAGTCTCGTGCTTAATTTCCAGAGCCAACTCAGGCCACAGAATCCACCCACCAAAATTGGTTTGGAATAACATTGTCGTTCCTCCCAAGGCTGTGTCTGTGGCTGCCGGCTTCACATGTCACCGTACGTACATGTGCACTTGCTGTTGCTAGATGTGAAATGCTCTCTTCGTATCGTCCTCAGCGAGCCAGCCAGTCGCAGTTCACATGAGGCGAGGCCAACAAACTGATACATCCTACCGTGTATAACGTGTGGCTCAGAGCAACCTCAATCAGCAACCCCAATCGGACGACCCATTTCATCTGCACTTGTTCGTTTGATTTGAAGCGGACAAAAACAACGGTCCAATGCTTGCCGGCGACCAGAAAACCCTAGCCAGGCAGCCTGAAACCCTAGCCAGCCATGGACTTCTTCAGCGGGAAGGGGAAGGGGAGGTTCAGCGCCGGCGCGAGCTCTTCCAGTGCTTCCTTCGCCGCCGCCTTCGGGAGGGCTGTGTCGCCTCCCGTCTTCATCGACCTTATCGGGGGAGACGACAATAGCAAGGACAAGGGCAAGCCGGACGCTTAGGGCAGCGTGCACGCGCAGAGTTTTTTATTTATTGTTTATTTAATGTTTAAGTGGACTTTGGCTAGCGGTTGACCGACCATTTTATGTTTAATTGTATTTTATTAAGTTTATTTCAGCCACGTGTTTATCATTTCCATTTTTTCTGTCGATGTGGGCAAATATGGGTTTGCCTCCAGTTGGGGGCGCTAGCCAACCCAAACCAAAAGGCGGACGTGCCCGTCCATGTGGTCGGCCTAAACGGACGAAAAGCGAACAAAACGCACGCCCGTTTAGGTCGCCGCGTCAGAGTTGCTCTTAGAGCAACTCCAACCAGCCGACCCAAACTACCCGCGTATCCGTTCGGGTCGAACGGACTAAAACGCCAGCCCAACACGTGGACCCAAATCCAAAACGCGTCTGCGCGGTGTCTGTCTAGACACATTTCATGCCCAAAATTGTGCCCAATCTTGCGTCCAAATGGACGCGCCGCGCATCCGCTCGGTGTTTGCCGCGGCCCCACTTGTCGGTCGCCCAACCACCGCACGCGGTTGAATTAAAAACGACCACCTACCTCGGGCCCACCTGGCAGTGGGTCGAAGCGCCGTGTCGCCGTATATTTTAATGCAAGCGTAGGGGGGCTCATCCGCTTCCATTCCCCCGTCCAAATCTAGTCAAAGCTTGCCCCATCGCTAGCGATAGGCAAACCCTAGGCACGTGGTTCTTCAGCAAGGGCAAGGGGGAGCTCACCGCCGGCGTCGGCTCGTCCTGCACGCGCGAAGCCACCACCTCCTCACCACGGTGGGCCGCCATGGGAAAGGGAGTGCATGTACATCCCAGTGCAGCAAACGAGGTGGCACTGGAAGTACAGGAAGCCGCTACCCTTCCCAGAGATCAACCTGCTGAAGGAAATATGCCCTAGAGGCAATAATAAAATTATTATTTATATTTCCTTATATCATGATAAATGTTTATTATTCATGCTAGAATTATATTAACCGAAAACTTAGTACATGTGTGAATACATAGACAAAAAGAGTGTCACTAGTTTGCCTCTACTTGAC